TGAGGTAACTTTTGATCTGAACTTAATACTGAAGTGTATGAAAGCCAACATTCAAAGTGAGTTTGCCCAAAAAGAAATACATAAAACTTGCACCTCAAAGAAGACACCCTGGCAGTTTTTATATAGAAAATCACGGACAGTTCGATTCAAATCGAAGTAATGACAACTGAAAAATGTACTGCCCTCCCACTTAATGTGGAAGGGACTATAATTTCTTTTATTCATTAATTTTTCAACAGCAGCTCAAACTATTTTTGTTGGGCCAGTGTCTACCTCAATTTTGACAACTTTTAGTAACTTGAGCAAGACTTTAACCGCCATTGGCGAGCAAGCGACTGTCCATGTCAGGCACTGCTAAACAACAAGGGAACAAGGGGAAGCTACATATAAAATGTGAGAAAGATCCTCCCGTACTTCCTGAGAAATAGCGATAACAAACTTTCAATATCAAAATCCAAGATGGCTACCTGTTAGCCATGTTGTTTATCCGATCAGCCTCAAAAGTTGCCCTGCACAGCTAAGGCCCAAGGGGAACCTACACTTAAAATGTGGGAAAGATCCCTCTGGTACTTCTCGAGAAATAGCGATAACAAACTTTCACTATCAAAATCCAAGATGGCTACCTGTCAGCCATGTTGTTTATCCGATCAGTCTCATAAGGTGCCCTGCACAGCTAAGGACCAAGGGGAACCTACACTTAAAATTTGAGAAAGATCCCTCTGGTACTTCTTGAGAAATACCGATAACAATAATTGTTTAAGGACGGTCACGGGGGAAGATGGACAGACGACGGACCACGGACGTAGGGTGATTTGAATAGCCCACCATCAGATGATGGTGGGCTAAAAAGGCCAGATGGTTTTCCATTAGGAAGTGTCCATTTCAGCCTGTGGCCTTATCAGGCTTGGAAAACTTCACTCCTCCTGGATAGTCTTTGACATGAACATGCCTGCATGGCAATGAACATGTTTGTGTCATTCTGTATCGTTTTTGAATTATATCAGTGCTTGCTGTTTAGAGTATCCCTGTCTTCTATCATTATTGATAGTTACACATGTACATGTACTTTGTTAGTATATTAACTTACAGAAAGGATTAAGCGGCTGATATTTTTCTGTGAATTTTCTTTTGTACTCCTCCCGACTCAATTTTTATATACCATATTTGACCAAATATGGATGCAGGGCGCAGATATGTAACATTTACAATGTTGGAATGTTGTTACAGTTGTGGTACCGCACAACGCACCAAAAATAGCGTGCGCACACCGTGCATACATCGTTCACACACCGTCCGCACACCGTCCACACATGGTGCGCACAACTGTGCGATTTAGCAATCGTTCGCCCCGTTGTGCGCTTCTCTCCGCACAACTGTGCGATTTGGTATCATTTGTAGATCAAAATTACGGAATGACAAAAATACGGAAGGCTTGTGTGCGATATTGTACACTGTGTATATATCTGTAATTTCTCATCACAATAATCAAGATTATACAATTTCACCAGAGGTATAATACATTATTATACGTCTCTGTACAGCGACCGTTAGGCTGTCAAGAATGGGTTTGGCTCCAAGGTAACAGAACAGGTAAATAACAATTTGATGAGTGTCCGGAGTTTTACCTGACCAGTGCCTGACACACAGAGTTGATAAGTTTGACCGTAATGAATAGTATTTGTTATTTGCATTCGTTTGCCTATAGCTCCCATTCACCTGGATTTTCACACCCCGGCCTTACCCGACGAGTTACGTAAGTGCCCCAGGCGGGGGAAAATTACGGTCCAGGTACATGTACAAAGTGGTTATGTTTACCTGTATA